TCAGAAATGGTTCATTCAGCGCTTAAGGCATCAGATCTTCAACAAGATGTGTTTAGGAAGTGAAAGTGGCTAAAAAAGATTGTTTCCATGAATTAAGAGCATCAACATGGAAAAAGATGTCGCAAAGAACTTGGGGAAAAATTAGCTTCTTTGCTAAGAATGGAGGACAGCATACAGAAATATAAAATAAATTTTACCCAGGGAATTTTTTTGCCCATGCTGTAGATCTAAGCAAATATAAAAAAAAACAACTCCAAAAATGGAGACAAGATTATTATTATGTAGCCTTTAGGTATATAAGCTAGTAAGCAGTTAACAGTTTACAATGATGTTCAACCAGTACAAGGCCAGGGAGCCACTTGAGGTAGAGTGCTACAGAGTAAGAGGCACAATATAAGCAGATATGTGGGGAAAATAATGTTTAATCCTAGATTGAACAGGTTAAGATTGTAGTGGTTGGGAAAACATCATCTTGGGAGTCAACTCTACAGATCAGCGGTTTGTGTGTAAAAGAAGCTCGAGTGGACTTAGATTTTACAAATGGAATATGAAGGGTGCTTCGATACAATGTGTGTAACATGGCAGGTCTTAGCCATGAAGGTTAAAAATGGTGGAACTAAGGAATGTAGTTTATCTGTGCACTTTTCATGGAAGTAGCAATAGATCAGTTAGAAACCTAAAATATTTTGACTGTAAGAAAGATGTTGTAGAGTGGAAAATAATTTGTCACCCACAAGGATGCAGAGATGCTTCTGGACTCTATCAAGACTGGAAAATGAAGAATGGGCAGCTCCTGTCAGTATATAGCAGCAGTAATCTTAGGCCTGATCTGGATTTTGTAAAGGTAGAGGATAGCACAAGAAGTCATGTACTTACTGGAAGGGTACAAGGAACTGAACATTTTCCAGCATCTTTCAAGATGAATCGTATGTATGAGCTCCACTTGAGGTCTGGATTGAGTTTAAGGTCCAATAGTTGCTCAACTGAAGAAACTGAGAAATATTCTTGCTGGTATTTTATTGCTTGGATATTGATAGGATTTTTGTAAAGCATTTCAGCTATTTTAACATGAAGAATTCTGATTGTAAAATTCTTCCAATACAAAGCTGGAGAACCACTGAATATAGAGGTTTACAGTGAACATGGTAATTATGAATGAGGTGTGTGATATGAATGAAAGAGGAGGTAACAGGAAGAGAAGATTATGAATGTACGACCACTCTATATCTAACAACAAATATAGGCTTTGAGATATTGGTATGAATTTATTGTTTCTGGTATTTACAAAATAACATGTGGATCATGCAAAAAAAACCCCCAGTAATATTGAAAGAGTGATATCTGACAAATCTTTGTAGGTATAAATGAGAACATTTTATCAGTTGCAGACACTTAAAATCATTCTTCTATTCTTGGTATTAAAAATCATTCTTTGATCATAGACATTTAAACTTATTCTTCAGTTGCAGACATTGACAACAATTCTTCAATTGTAACTACTTAAAACCATTCTTTAATTATAAACAATGTAAATCATTCTTTGGCTGTAGACATTGAAAATCATTTTTCAGTTGCAGATATTGACAATCATTCTTCTATGGTAGCCACTTAAAATCATTCTTCAGTTATAAACAATAAAAACCATTCTTCAGTATCTGTTTGTACTTCTGACAAAGGCAATGCAACTGTAGTGATGGACAAATCAGATTATACAGGAAAGCTGGAAGACCTCATTAAAAATGATAGCTACAACAAAGTAAAAAAGGATCCTACAATGAAAACAGAATGCAAACTGTCACAGATACTAATCAAGAACAAGGATCACTTCACACCAAAGATGTATAGGCAGTTGTTGCAGCATTACATCAAGCTACCTCACATATATGGTTTCCCTAAGATTCACAAAGATGGTATTCCCCTCAGGCTGATTGTTAGTTGCCAAGGCTCTGTGTGTCACCAAGTCACTTCCTTGTAGATATAATTGACCCATTGATCAGAAAGTCACATTCACATGTCTGAAACTGACCACTTCGTAGAAATAATCAAAGATGCCGCCATCCTATCCGACAAGATGGTGATCTTGGATGTGGTGAGTTTGTTCACCAAGGTACCCATGGAGGAGGCAGATTGGCCTCTGACTCATCTTTAGGAGAACAGACCAGTATTCCAGTAGATAATCTGATGGAGATGTTGACTTTCTGTACACAAACAACACACTTCAGAATGGGATCACACACATATTAAAAGGATTAGGGATTAACAATGGGCTCATCATTACCACCAGCAATGGCAAATATATACATGGAATACTTTGAAAAAATGGCATCAAAATTTATATCTCTAAGGCCAACTCTCTGGTTAAGATATGTAGATGACACCTTTATACTCTGGCCACACCAAGAAGATGTCCAGATTCTACTGGATCATGTGAACTCAATAAGATCTTCGATACAGTTCACAATGGAGAAGGAGAGTAACAGCACACTCCCATTCCTGGATGTTCTAATATCTCGAATAGAGCATGGGTTCAAGACATCCATATACCACAAACCGACATTCACCAGAAAGTACCTCGATTTCAACTCTCACCATCCATACAGTGTAAAGAAAGGGATTGTCCGCTTTTTGCAACACTGATCAAAAGTCATAAGTGGCACACAGAGATATTAGATAAAGTATTGGTCAGTACTCTATGACGTAACAACTACCCTGAGTACATGGCAGCAGCCCCAATAAAATGGGATAGGTGGGTAAAAGAGGAGGACAACAAAACTCAGAAAAGAGTCTGCCTGTCTTATGTGAAGGGGTTATCGGAGAAAATACAAAGGATCTGCAGTCCATATAACATCTGGACAACCTTCAAAAATTGGATGACACTTTGCAGATATCTCTCCTGAGTAAGACCCCCACATAAAACAGAACATAACTAAAGGCTCTCTGTATGCCATCTCATGCAGCTGTGGAAAGAAATATAAAGGGGAGACTGGCTGCCCCCTTAAGGTAAGGCTTCAAGAACACCAAAAAGCTGTAACATGAGGGGAAGTGGAAAAATTCAGGCATGGTTGACCACATATAGAGAGAAAAGGGAGATCACCACTCTCTGTGGAATCAGGTTGAAATCATAGACAAAGAACATCACTGGAAAATTTGTAAACTTAAGGAATCAGCACATATGCTAGGCCACAAAAATCTATTGAGCTGACTAAGCATAGAAATGAATACAATATGGGAACCAGAGAAAAGCAATAATAATAATGAAAATTGCAATATGAGTTCTGGTAAAAAAACATAATTGATAACAGCAAAAATTGTAATATGAACAATTGTAAAAATGGTTGCTGAAGACATTAAGTTTATAAGTCCCAGAAATTCATACACAGGTGTCCTTAAGGAGACGTGGCACAATGGATAAATGCGTTGGTTAGAGGACCCAAAGAGTTGTGAGTTCAATACCTGGTTAAGACAGTGGATAACTTGTAGAGGTGAATTAGCAGGAGATAACTGATAATTGATATCTATTAGAAATATCGGAACTAGAACAGTCTACCCCAGCAAGTGAAATAAAGGTTTCAGTTCGAAATGTGATAAATATGGCAACAAAAATGAGGACAATAGTCTGAATAATGTAAATAGTGAAAACCATTCTTTGTAGATATTTAAAATCATTCTTCAGTTACACAGATTGACAAGCATTCTTTAACTGTAGCTATTTAAGAATCATTCTTCAAGTGTAAACAATGAAAATCATTCTTTGGTTGCAGACATTGAAAATCATTCTTCTGCAAAAAAAAAAAAACCAATAAAACGAAGTATCAAAAGGACTGTTTCCCCTTTGACGTCGCTATTATTTCAACTACCTTATCTTCTCGGCAATGTTTGTTGCTTTTGAAAGTGATTAGAATTTTTCTAAAACATAAACATGTGATGAAAGTGAATTATGGATTTTTTTTGTTCTTGAGAATTTACAACAAAAATAGTAAATACTATTTATTGATTAGATCCACAAGGATTTTCAAAAGTGCAGTTTATTAAGATATATTGGAAAATTAATGGTTAACCTTCAATTTGAAAAGAATATAGATTTGTTCCATAAAGTAGCAGTTCTTGAGAAGAAGCTAAATGAATGAAACTTCCTTCTTACAAAAAGAATATGAAGGAATGGTAATGATTTGTCCCAATGTATGTCACAGAGTGAGTCTTAGCTGTAGAGTTCTGAACTTGGGGCACTGATATTCTACTTATTCTTGTTTAACTTTTATCATTACTGGGAATGTTATATTTTTTAATCAGTATCACCCCCAAGCAAGGCAATATTGTCACCAAAACGGAAGAGGTTACAGGGTGTGGAAGAACTATGAAGAGAAACATTAAGAATGAGCAGAAAGAGAAGAGAGTAATCATGTGGAGAGTAGATAGCGGTTGACATTGCATTTAAGTTGGCTGGAAAGCATAGAACTGGAAGAGAGATCCAAAAGGGAGAAGTGTGAGAAAAGAAACCGTTAGCATAAATCTTATGACTACATCTAGCCAGCTCAACTGTAAATTGATGAGATCTTGCCACCTGTCTAATGCAGTGCTTAATTTCGAAAACTCTAGGTACCATGGCAAAGAGTTTATTTAAACAATTACCATGAAAGTATTTATAGAAAAGAAATAGAGAGGCAACCTTATGGGGGTGAGAAAGTGACTGGATCTGAGCTGCCAGATCACAACCTATAATACTGCACATCCTTATTTGGATCTTACCAAAGTATTCAACTATATAATGGGCAATAGTTAATTTGTTTAAAAAGTTATGATGTATACAAATCTATGTGTAAAAATTCAAATATAAATAAAACATATCTATAAAGACAATATCAATAAAAGACAAAAGAAAAACGTTTTTTACTAATATGCATCGTCACTTAAGGAACTTTAATCAAGATAAATATAGAGATTTTATTTTATAACTTGCATCTATAAACAGAAGTAAAGTGAAGGAAAAATATTGTGGCTTATGGTCATTACACATTGAAACACCGCTTCTCATGGAATCACCAAAGTTAAACAACATTGAGCCTGGTCTAGTACTTAGATGGGTGAGCATTTAGGAATACCATGTGCTGTAAGCTTGGATGGGCAGGTGGTGTAGTGGATAATGACTGTTAATTGGAGAGCTGAGTTCCTATTTCAGTTGGGTGCGTTATAGTCACTTACAAGCATGGATGAATCCATGTTTTCTCCCCAACTCGATATAAGTTAACCAGTAAGACTTATATCACTAAATCATTATTATCTCCCCCCCCCGTCAAAATTCTTACAAACTAAAAATATTTTCTGGCTATAAATAACCTTTAAATAAACTGAAATGGGTTGATAAACTGTAAAAAACAAATCAATCAATCACATTTTGAATTTGAGAAGCCAACATACAAGACCATAAAAATTAAAAGATAACAGTTAACTCAAAACCTTTAAAAATATATAGATATAAATAAATATATGTAAATATATATTCTCTGTATAATTTTCCTCAGTTGCGACTCTGTCCTTTGTTTGAGTCACCCCTGAGTGCACTTTGCCCAAGGACAGAGACAGAACTGAGAGATGATAAATAGGGTGTTGCAAACCACTCGTGAGAAAGAGTAATTTACACACAATAGGAAAAGAGATATGTTCATGCATTTTTCTTTAAGTTAAATAAAAGATAATTAATTTCCATAAAATTTCATGAAAGAAATATACAAATATCAGACTATTAGTAGGTAAACTAATCAAATAACAAAATTGAAAAACTGCTAAATGATATGGTTCATTCCATGAGAAATTTCTTCAGACATTAGTCTCATTAGTGAAGTTATTTTTTATCATTTCATTCCAAGCAAGGTAATAATGCCACTGAGATGCAAGAGATAACTGGAAGAGAGAGAAAATGAGAATAATTTAGTGAACAGAAAGGACAATAAAAAAAATGCTTCATGAAGGCAGAAGATGGCATTTGAAGCTGTAGTCAAATTTTTTAAGAATTTTTTTTTTCCGGGGAAGCAAGAACTGGAAGAGAATTCAGCAGGTGATATGTCAGAGAAAAGAAACTATTAGAATAGGACTTATGGTTATATCTTGCTAGCTCAACACTAAAACGATTAGACCTATTTGCCATTTTTTAAATTTTTGATGAAAGTAAATAACAAGGAGGAAAGAAACAAGAAGCATGTTCCACAGCTTAGAAGTGTTAGAAAGGAAACTATTAAAATGGAATTTATGGTTACATAGGACTATTTCAACAGTAAAATGATAAGAGTTAGTCACCAATCTAGTACTACTCTTAAATTCATGCAGTGAAGGCACCAAGGAGGAGAGTTCATTAGAACAATTGCAATGAAAATATTTATAGAAAAGACAGATGGAAGCCATGTCAATATGGTGGGAAAGTGACCGAAGTCAAGATGCCAGATCAGGACCAATAACATTACAGAACCTTCTTAGTTAAATGCAGCAACAAAAACCATTAAAGCTGAAGAGAGGCTGAGCTTTAAATTGAAATTTTTTTATCTGGTGTATTTAGACATTTAACTTAGCTGATTTCATTTAGTTTGAAATAAAAATTTGAAAAAAAAACTATAAAAATCTGGATGAGTTCAGCTAAATTAAACATATCTATATACACCAGAAACCAAAATTTAAATCTAAAGCTGAGTGTCTCTCTATTTTTAATGTTTACAATGTAAAATTATAACCAGCATCTGTATCATTTCTGCTCACCAAATACAAGGTGTGCTATAAATACCTCCCAGAAATACCTCCCAGAAATACCTCCCAGAAATACTTCCCACATAATGCTAAGACATTAGCTGTATAGTGCAGCAGAAATATTTCCCACATAATAGCAAGACATAGGTTAGATGAAAAAACCATTGCCAAAGTTCATTAACACCACACAGGTGACAGTTTAAAATGTGGGAGGTATTCATGCCAACCCTTGTATATAAGACTGATTCCACCAATAAAACAATTATTAATCTCAAGAAGTTTTTCTGGGGATGAAATATATAATGGAGTTTTTTTCCATTTTGTCTTTTGACTACTAATAAAATTTCATAAAACCAATCAATTTTACTATTCAAGAAGTCTGGAACAGAAATCTTGGAGACTCATTGCAGGAATTAAAGAATAAATTAACTGTCCTATTAAATTAGAATTTATCCAAAAATGTTAACAATGCTTGGGAAAGATTCTTTTTTTCATTTATTGCCATTGTTTAAACTTACAATAAGAATTGAAATATTTCCTTTTTGTGCATTAAAACTTTGGACTATTAAATGCAAAATTGAATTTAGTATAAATTTTAATATTTTAAAATGAATTTTCATTTGGTTAGAAATTAAATATGTGTATATATTTATCTCTCTTTCTTCCTTTCTCTTTCTCATTCTCCTTTAGTCTCTTTTATCTGTTTCTCTCTTAAACTTTTTCTCTATTTCTTTCATTCCCTTTTGCTTTTCCTGTCTGTCTCTTTTC